TTCACCGGTGCTGTTTCTGTGTTATGGTGAGCTCTAAACCCTGACTGAAACTCCTCAGATTATTTATTTGCAGATGTTCACTCAACTGTCCTGCAACTATTTTCTCAAAAAAAATTTTTAGATGGAAGTTAGGTTAGATATACTATAATTGGCTAGGTAGATCTTATTACTGTTTTTCTTTTACATTTTATTATGGGATGTAACTGGGACCCTGTAATCTCGTTCCATCACATGTACCACATGTACGACAGTAAAGAAACTCTGACTCTTACTCAGATTCCTGAGTCAAAGTTATGTAAATATTTAACTACAGCAATCTTAAACAAATGTGGTACTAAACACTCATTAGAGACAAATTAAGAAGATCCAAAATGTGGCTATTAATTACAGGAAATACCTCTTTAAACAGTCTGGTTGGGATGAGATCTAGCAGACTTGTGGATGGTTTGAATGAAGCTTTGACAATTCAGAAAGCTTAATAGGACAAAAACAGTCCAAACATAAATCAGATTCTAGTAACATTTTTAAAGTTGCCTCATCTGGCACAGAATCGGAGGCGATAGTAGGAAGGATGGTTTGATCCCCCCCCCCTAATTTAAATAATTTTATTTTCATGAACTCATCGCTGCTTAGTTGTAGGAATACATGGTTCAACAGAGGTAGGATTAGGATAGGATCAGGTCTCTCTTGTAAATGAGTCCTCGAGGCTCAATGGGATTAACCTGTCTAAATAAAGGTTGAATGAATGAATTATGGTACTGAAATGGAACCTAGGGTTATTTTTATTCTCAAAAATTAAAGATGAATACTATAAAGTTCTAGCTTTGCGGAGAGCTTTTTATAAATAAGTTAGTAGGCTATCTCTCAAAGATAAATAAAATTATTCAATGTTAGTGGAGCGCCATTATCTTTCCAGCTTAAGATGCCTATTTTAAAGTAACAATTATAACTCAGTGAGTTAATCTCCTCTGATTGATTATAGTTACATTTGTACACTTTCACTGGTTAATACTTCAGCTCTCTTCCCCTTCCCTTGTTGTAGCAAAATTAAATGTGTTATTTTAAAAAGCTAATTTAGGCTATGTTGTATGACGAGGATTAAAAAGCAGCCCATGGAGGTTACAGGTGTTTTGTGATTTTTTTTTCTGGTAGTTGCATTAAAATACTACCGTATTTGTTAAAATGCCACACCTAAAGAGAACATTTTATCTGGAATCTCTGTTTATATGTAGCATAGCATCTTTTTAGTCCAGAGTTGGAGTTTACGAGGAGTCCTTAAACGCGCCACACTATGACGAGCCGTAAGTTTATGTTTAGAAGCGCAACATTTATTTAAGTAGACTGACGCGCAAATCAGTTTTTTCCAAGCAAAATAAAATAAAAACGGCTCCGGCTGCCTTTAACTCTTAAGGATTATTATTCTGTTATCAGCAGAACGCACATCGTGAAAAAAAACTCCGAGTCAGGACTGCCGGAAGTTCAATTTGTAACATCCGGCGGAAGTTTAGAAGGCAGCAACATTAGCATTAGCTTTGTGTGCTATCTGAGATGAATATTTGAAAGTTTTTTGGTTTTTCTTTGCGTGATGGCCACCATCTTATTGCGCCGCTAAAACGTTCGGGCCCAACTGGGCCGTGTCAGAACCGGATGTTAAGAAAAGAAGCGCAGAGTGGTGACATGTCTGTTTCCTCCTGTACAGGTGCGTCCTCTTTCTCTTTTCACTGCGTTTAAAGGATTTGATTAAAACAGCTCGTAGCTCTGAACTGATCCCTCTTCCGTTTTTAATTCACGCTTTTTATATCAGTCACAGGGAGCAGGAGACTGCACGGAAACACGCCCAGTTAAAACCCTCCTCTAATGTGACGTCCCGGTGTTTCATAAAACCATTAATTTAACATCGTGACCGAAAAGATCTCATAAACTTTAGTGTCGTGATGGAGGAACTGAAGTTTTCTGAGCCGCAGAATCAAACAATCTTTGGACAGTCGCGTGCTCAGTCAGTGCAGCTACTTCCGGTTCTTTAAAGTGCACTTCGTTTAAACGCTGTTCTGTTTAGCTCTTGTTTTAGCTGCTGTTAGGGGGCGTGCTGCTCGATTGTGCATGTGCATTATGAACTGTAAAAACTCACTTCAATTCAAAAATACTTTATTAATCCCAAAGGGAACTTAATTGTTGTTGTAGCTCATCCTGGTTTCATTAGAGTTGTTCTAGATGCTGATGGCTGTGGGCAGGAAGGATCTCTCGTAGCAGTCCATCCCACAGCGGACCTAACTGTCGGTGTCGGGGGACGATCTTGGTCCTCCCGCCGTCACAAGCCGCGTTTCCCGCCACCTCCCAAGATCTCGGCGATAAGGCACTCGAGCACCGCCTCCAGGTAGACGGGAATGCATCCACGGCACCTCCTTTTCAACTCCTTTTGGGATTTGGGGTTGTAGTTGAGGTATTATTTGAGCTTTTGATATGTTAATCAGCTGCTCCCAGTAGTAGAAAACCACCTTGTTGTTATGGTTACGCATCATAACAAATGTCCAAAAGTAAAAAAAGTTTCGTAGATGATGCAGAAGTTTGAGCAGGAAGAGCGGACATTTCTCTTGTTAACTGAGGAGAAGTTCTAGTTTGTAAATTTGTCACAAAGAGTCCTCGCACGGTTTGGGGACGGTTCCTGCGCCGCCGGGCCGAGGTGGACTCCCTCCAGGTCAACGCAGCCACGGAGAGCTGCTCGTGTCTCTGCGCTGTTCCCTCCCCGCACAATGATTGTGATATCTCCTTCCACGAGTTCTTTGACTGTTTTTAACAAGTTTTACCTGAACGATGTAAAGACGTCTGTATTCTCTTGCAGCCTCCGCAGAGCAGCTGAAGTGAAGTGAGAGCACTGCAGTCACCGAAACAAAGTTCTGACCAATCACACAATACTTTCATAGCCTGTTAAAATACTGCTGACGGGGGGGGCAGGTACAGAATGCTGTAATCTCATTGTACACTACCTTCATCTTTTTCTCTTGCTATATCTGATTTGAGCTTTTTGACACCTATAATCAAATAATTAAAGAGGAAGACGAGCAGTCAGGATGATGGTGACCACTCGGTTCCTCCCCTTGACCCAAACCATGCAGGTTCTGCTGAGCAGGAATTTCCTGTGACCGTTGGCTCTGAGCACTCAGAGCTTCCTGTTAAACGTGTTGTTGTCAACATGTAAGACTTGTTGTTTGTTTTCTGTTTGTTCCTCCAGAGCCTCCACAGCAACATGTTTCTAAGGAGGAGGTTCTGATGGACCAGGAGGAGCCAGAACCTCCTGAAGTCAAAGACATTCAGGTTGAATTCTGGACCAGGCAGGAGGTTGAGCATTTTTTACTGAAGGAGGAGACTGATTCCTTTCTGATGCCTGGGAACACATGTGAAGAAACATCTGGAGTTTGTGACAAAAGCAGGGTCCAGTTCCAGGAGGTGCTGGATGGTCAACATGGATCGGTTCAGAAGAACTTCCATACAGCAGGTACGACACGCTGCGACAGGCTGGACCAACCAACACTGGAGCAGATGGTCAAAAATCAAGAATTTGTTTGTTTTTCCTAAATTAAACTTTATTTTTTAAAACAGTTTTAACTTTAAAATACAAAACGGAACCAATCTGAAGCAAACGAGAACTTTCATACAAAATAGAATAAAAGAACAGCGATAGTGAGGAGGTTCTTCATCCGTGCTGTCTTACACTCTAAACCAGGGGTGCCCAGACCTTTCTGAACTAAGATCTAATTTTGAAGTTGCCATTTTGCCAAGCTCTACTACTTTAGTGTCGGCGTCAAACATATCGGTACATTCCCAGGAAGTGGAGTCGTGGAAAAAAGGGATTCCCAAAACAACCAGGTGTAAGTTCATCAGATTTATGACAAAGCTCTGGAGAACAGCAGCCACAGAAGATCATTTACAGGTTCACACTTATCAAAGCTTTCACCTGTCTGAGGCTCTGAACCCCCAAAAAATCATTTTTGTAGAACTTGGACTGCACTGCCAGGAATCGATCCATCGCACAAATGGACGTTCATTCAGCCGCTGCGCTCAGCGACGACACAAACAGGTGAGATCGTGTCAGAACCGGGTCAGCCCAGCCCCTCACGTGTCTGTCCGGTTGTTGTCAGGCGTGGTAAGAATCTTGGAGCCAGCAGCTCTCAGCGACTCTCTGAAGTCACATCACTTTAATCATCTCACTCAGCTCGAGGATAAAAACATCTCTTGCTGTCCCTTTACTGACCAGCACCCCAAGACTAAGATTATTACGTGAAACGTTTTAACATCAATCCCAGAACAGAAGCAGTGAAAGTTGGTGCAAATAATACACGTTCCCTTGACAGTGGGTCAAAATATTCTGAGTGTCTCCCACTCCTCACGTGCACGGAGGCCAGCACATAGCATGCTAGCAGTTTTATAGACTCCACTAAAGGTGAACATCCCAAGGTGTTTCTTCAGCTCCTGAGCTTTCTGGGCTCGTAGAGCGGTTTTAGCGGGGACATCCGTCTCGTGGCGTTTGTGCACCGTCTTGTGATTTTGTTCTTCGTTGCTGTTTTTGTACGAGGCCGCGCTTACGTTACGCACGAGACAAATGGACTTGACCTTTGAGAAAACAAAATATAGTCCTCTTCACACCGTGTTTCACCCCGTTTGTCAACAGCACCGGTGACGGTCGTTGTTAACCCGGGCCTCAGCCCATCAGTTGTGGCGTCACTTCGATGAGCTCACGTTATGGTTTTGGTCAAAGTGTTTTATGTTGGATGCCCTTCCTCACACAACCCTCACCATTACTCGGGCTTGGGACCAGAACCAGAGATACACTGGCTTGTGCTCCCTAGTGGCTGCTTTTCTTGCGTTTATGATTGAATGCAGCAAAATAAACTGATGTAAAAAGTAACGGATCGTTGGTTTATTTACAGAATGACTTTAATTGCTGCATGTCCGGCCCCCTGAAAAATTTAGTTGAATAGTTCTGCCATTTCTGTTCCTCAAACAAAAACATTTACCTGTTGAACAATAAAATGTTTCATTCTTACAGTTTAAAAGCTTAACATCAGGCCTCTCGCTACTTGTATACATCAATCATTTTACCCATAAATCTCAAAAGACAGCACTTTGAGGCAGCAGACTGAACGTGAGTCTTCCCTGTTGACTACGCTGTAGATCAGGGGTCCTGGTCTGGTCCTGGCCCTCGTCTTCCTGCTCCACCACACCTGATTCAGTGACTGAATGACCTCTTCATGTTCTGTTGAAGCCTGGTAATCGTCCATTCCTTCATATCAGGTGGCTCTTTCTGCTAATATTTTTAATAAAAGAGAACCGTCATGCTGTTTTAAGTTCCTTCCATTAAAACAAAATTAGCTGGTTCATTTTAAATCTGTTCCCTGGATGAATGCTCAAACACTCCCTGAAGCAGCTTTGAAGGAAGACTTGAGTGTCTGGAAATCAACTGCTCTATCTCCACCTCCTGTGCATGAAATATATATATATATATTTTAACTATATGATGAAAGATGCAAAAGCTGCTTATGTCCAAAGTTGTTTTTTTTTTTTTTTACGTGTCGGCAGAATCTTAGACTGCTGTTTGTTACCAGTATAATCCCCCGACTCAATCAGCTGGTCATATTTTTTACTGTATGTCTGCTGAAGGCTTTATGGGATAGTCCATAAACGTTCTCTTGTCCGGACCTTAACTTCTAATCTGCTCAAGATAATTTTACTAAACTAAATACACTTATCGATCATCAGTAGACAGAGTGAACAGTTTACGCTGCGTATATATAAAATGTTGGCCTTGTAAAACCCTGCACATGTTTGTTTTTATTTATTTCCTCAAATGTGTTTATTTCTCTATCACAACTTAATTTTCTTTTGTCCCTTCAGAACTGGAGCAAGATGTTCTGATGGACCATCAGCTCTGTAACCAGGAGAAGAACTGCAGAATGGACCAGGAGGAATTAGATTCTCCACAGATTAAAGAAGAACCAGATCCTTTAGAGATTAAGGGAGAACCAGAACCTCCACGGGTTAAAGAAGAACAGGAAGAGCTCCGTGTCAGTCAGGATGAAGAGCCGTCTGTTTTAGAAGAGACTGAAACCTTTATGGCAACTCCTACCTTCGAGGAAAGTGACCAGAGTGAACCAGAACCAAACGAGGACCAGCACCACTCTCACGTGTCTGCTGTAAAAGAGATCCAGGATGAAGGAAGCAACAAGGCAGAACCAGGTCCAAATCAGAATTTAATCAAACATGACATTTGTCAGAACAAGTCCTCATTGAAGAATCATGGCAGACTTCATGCTGGTGAGGAACCGGACCTCAGAACCACAGGTGGACACGCAGAGGAGAGGAAACCGTACTCTTGTGACAGCTGTGGCAAAAGTTTTTCTCACTTATCATCATTGAACCGTCATAGAAACATTCACACACCGGACAAAGCTTATTCCTGCAAATTATGTGATAAAACGTTCAAAAAGAACAGCCTCTTGTTGTCCCACATTAGAACTCACAACAACAAACGTCTGTATTCATGCGAAGAATGCGGTAAACGTTTTGAATACCTTAGCGTTTTGGCTCGCCACATGAGAAGTCACACAGGTGAGAAACCGTACTCGTGCAAAGCGTGCGGGAAGACGTTCAGCCTCGAGGGCAACCTGTTGCGACACATGAGAACGCGCACAGGTGAGAAACAGTATTCTTGCAAAGAATGTGGGAAGAGTTTCAGTCAGATTAGTAATTTGTCGTCACACATGATGATTCACACAGGTGAGAAACCGTTCGCTTGCGATGAGTGTGGGAAGAGTTTTAATCAAAAGAGTAACTTTTTGACCCACATGAGAACTCACACAGGTGAGAAACCATATTCCTGCAAAGATTGTGACAAATGTTTTAGACAGAAAAATGACTTGTTGACTCATATGAGGACTCACACTTGAAGCTGCGTTCACTCTGTAGACCTTAATGTATCGGGGCCCGAGATGGAGTAGAGGTAAGGCAGCCGACTTGGGACCAGAAAGTTGCAGGTTCAACTCCCTGCCATGCCCACCCAATCCCCAACTGCCCCCTGGGCCCCCACATGGTCATCCACCGCCCCACATGGGTGCACCCCACGCACGATGGGTCAAATGCAGAGCACCAACCTCATCACTGAATAGAAACAGACAGTGATGACACCACACAGCGCTTTAATGCTCATTCCAATGTTTTGCACAGATTCAATGTTTTTATGTGTGGTCGTTCTCATTCGTATTAAAATGGTCCTCCATCAGACTCCAGCATGAACCAGTTGCAGTTCTGAGGTGACCCACATGTGCAGAAGAACACGTGACATCACACGCAGCACACTGAGGTAAAGGAAGTAAATGTGGAGGCTACATGTGTTCATGTGTGGTTCAGAAGTTGTGCATCAGAACTGAATAAATGATCTGACCCGACTGATTGGTCCAGTCTTTATATTTAACTCTCGACGGCTCTACCAGCGCATCGTTGTAGTTTTGGAATTGGAGCGGCGTACTGAAGGTAAAAACCGTCTTTTGCAAGATTCTGTGATGATTTACCTTAAAAAAGTTTCATAATTATCTCGTTTGTTTGATTTGAAGTCTCTTGTGTTTGGATGTTAAGTGATGTCATTCTGCTTCGTGCAGCAGCTCCAGGGTGCAAGTACTCTTCTCTTTTTTCAGTGAAGACTAAACGGCAGATTAAATTTGATGCAGGCGTTTTTAGAATGACAAATTACAGAGGGATTATAGTTTTTCTTTACTTATCCTGATGTGTGCTCAATAATCCAGGTAGAAAAATCTGACAAAGACAAGTCACGTCCTCTGGACAGATTCTTTGCTGAAACGTTTCGTATTTCATCCGAAAGACTTCTTCAGTCTGAGGAGCTGCAATAAACTCAGTCTTATAAATAGCACCTTCTCATAGTGGATCAACCAGTTTGTTGTTAGGTTTAGTTGCTATATGAAGGTCAACACAAGGTCAACAATGCAATGAAATGCTCGGGACGAGAAGAACAGTCCAGACTTGTCCAAAAAAATTAACAAGAAATATGCAACTATCGATAAAATACAAAAACAAGGTGCCAAAGGTGAAAAAGAACTGCATCTGGAGCAGCATGGTCCTATTAGCAGCATGATGATAAAGATGACCGCGGCAACCGACGACTCCAGAACCGGGTCCAGCAGACACGGAACATCCAAAGTTTCCCCGTGGAATCGAACTGTTCTGTTTGGTCCGTGCAGGCAGATGGAGGATTGGGAAGACGGCTGCCACGACAGGCCGGAGCCTGAGGCCGGAGCGGGCCGGGAACTGAACCACGATGGGAAAGCAGCAACACACAAAACTCCAAAAGTGCGTCGCTGTCAGACCTGCAGCGAGGGCGTGGAGCGCCGCAAAACACTTACAAACAACAGGAAGAACAAAAGAGCGAGTCGAAGCAGAGCTGCCGCACTGCAGCGCACGTGACATCAGCGCGTGTTCACATGAACAACGAGCTGCTTGGTCCACCGTTTGAAGGTGCTATTAATAAGACTGGGTTTAGTGCAGCTCCTCAGACTGACGCAGACTTTTGGAAATGAAACACGAAACGTTTCAGCATCTGTCCAGAGGACCTGACTCCACTTAAATCTCTACTTTATATTAAAACAGAACCTGCAGCAAATTCTTCGTTTTTGTTTCTTAATGTCAGAAGTTTGGATTTTTACAAATAATAAATTCATGGATCCTAGATGATCCTTTTATACACAAAAAAATAAAGAAGTGACAAACATCCTTCAGAGTGATGATGATGATGATGATGAACTTTCCCCCAGATGTTGCACCTTTGACACCAACCAGAAGGAAGCGCGTGAGAACATCTGTTCTGAGCTCTGAAATGAGGAAATCAGAAGATCCTTTATGTCTTGTGACCTTCCTGTCCAGTTCTTTAGTTAATGACTGGGTTAAACGTGTCAGTAAAGTATTTTCACCCCGTTTTTTTTTTCATTTAGCCTTTATTTATCCAGGTTAGTCTCATTGAGCCACGAGAACTCATTTTCAAGAGAGACCTGTTTAGGGAGCACATGGTGGGGGTTAAGGACCTTGCTCATGGGCCCAGAGTGGGGCGAATTTGCTTTCAGTTTCAGGTTGCTTTCAGTGACCAGCAAAGATTTAAAGAGAAACAGGAAGCAGGAAACTTTCACTTTCCCTCAGCTCCTCACAGCTCTCTGACTCCGTCTGACAGGTAAACTCTTTTAATTCTCTTACAAACTGTCAATTTGGAGTCGATCCTCTCTTAAATCAGTGACTTTCAGTATAAACCCACAGATTTGAACCTGCTCCGTCCAGAGCTTATGATAAAATGCAGGTATCGATTCTAAAGTAGTTGTGAGTTAATAATCGGACTTTTCTGGTTCAGTGTTTGTATTTGATCTTTGCCGCCTCCTCCGAGGCAGAATGTCACTTCTGTTCTGAGCATAGATGGGTTTATATAATGTCTACTTTATATAATGTCTACTTTATGTAATGTCTA